AGCACGTTGTGCATCGTATGTAAAATTTTGTAACCCATGTGATGTGAGTGATAGTGTTTGTTGGCGGGAGTCCACACTCCTACCTTGGTGCAACGGTAGACATATTTTCCAATGTTTATCCAGATGACCAGTACCTATACCCTTTTTATTAGAAAAGGGCTTTTTACAATATTTACATACCGCACAAATTTCCATCTCACCTGTTTTTGGATTTGGTCGGGGCTCCTCGGTGAAATGCTGCCATGCCGGAGAAGTTCGCGGTCTTTTTCCTCTGCTGCGTTCTCCAGCTTCTTCGTTGTATACTGAAGCATTATCCACCGGAGCATTTTCTGGTTCAGTGGGGGTGGGGTTGGAAGGCATCATTTCTTCCTCAAAAAATGTCTCCTCACCAAGCTCAGGAATAGCAGTGAAATTAGGGAAATTTGGTGAGGTCATTTTCTGAAAATTGATTGAACTTTATAAATGAAAGAGCTAGAAAATGAATGAACACGAGAAAAAAGCTTAGAATCAAAATCAAAGAGAGAAGTTGAGAGATAGAATGAGAGTGAGATGAGAAGATGAGAGTGAATTGTTGTGTGGGATTTATGGTGGAATTAAGGGGTATTTATAGGGGATTTTTGGGTTAAAATTCAGTTTTTTCCCGTTGGGCCCGCGAAGGGCCCACTGGACCAAATGAAATGGGCTTTTCGTGGGCTGTTTCGCGGGCTTGGGCCGGGCCGAATAAGGGCCGTGCCGCGGGCCTCCACGTGCTTGGGTCGCGGGCTGAGAAGTTAAGGCCCAGCCCTAATCCATTACACGTGCCATGCCGGCCCGGCCCGTAACAGTAATGAACCGGGCCGTGCCGAATCATGCACTATTACGGGCTGGGCCGGGCCGTCCATGGACGGCCCGGCCCATTTGACACCTCTATGAGAGATGAGACAAAGAGATGTGTATAGTATAAAATTAGGACCATCCATGGTGTGGATATGATTAAACTAATGGTATATATTGGGATTCTTGTGATTTGTACTGAGGGTAATCCCTTTTGTATTTATACCATGTATTTGTTGTGGAAGACAAATGAGTATTTGTAATGTATATCTAGGATGCATAAACTATCAAATCCCTAAAAAGGAAATTGAAAGAATATTTATTTGAATACAAATTTTGTAAAATTATGGGAGAATAAATTACAATATTTATAAATACCATGAATAACGAGATGTCTATAGAGTTAAGAATGACAAGGTCAAATTTAAGAGAGATATTGAAAAGGGAAATTTTCATGTTGGATTACATAAATTCACGAATTTGCAGTCTTGGCGAGATTTTAAGAAAGATGGTTTGGCATATTTGGCAGTTTTGATGGTAATTTAGGAATAAAATTGAGAATGGATTTTTTTGGTTGTAATGGGACGTGCATGTGGGAGAAAAGGATTGTCATCAACGTACTTGGTGACATATCTAGCATTGGTCGTGGAAGTTCTAAAGTTGTTTTGACTCAAAATAAAGATCATTAATAATTAGATATTTATGTTGATAACATACTATTATAATATAAATACAAAAATTAAAATACACACATATATATATATATTGTGTTCAATCTAAGACGAATTCAGTAAATACAATGACTTTATCGTATTTTAGTATGTAACATTGTTCATTTCGGTGTGTAACATTCAATTTACACAAATTTAATATCATTAGTCTCTTTTAACTTTATGCCATTCTCTTGAAATTTGCACCCCTTAAGTTAAAATATAAAGGAAAAACATTATAGGATTTAAAAAAGAGGCGTAGATTATTATGTTCACTTACTATAGAGGTATTCCTCTGGATTTCCATCGTTAGAAGTTACCACTTTCTTAAAGTCCCAATAAAAATCATACCATTTGTTTCTTTTTTATATGAAAAAGAAGACTTTTAGAAAGTAAATTCCAAACTAACCTCTTAAATCCCTGTCCTAAAGTTCTTTCATTAGAGTAGTAATATTAGACAGGTTTAATAAAAGGAGTATTTTAGGTGAAAGCTACAAAAAGTATTTATCTATTTCTTTATAATTGCATTTGTTTCTTTGAGTTCTTCATATCATACACAACGAAATGATAGATTCTATCTTTCAATTTGCGACAGACTACCGACAATGAGTGAGAATAAAGGGAAAGGGACGCCGAAAAAGAGTCAACCATTTCTATATTCATCTGATGAAATAGTAAACTAGTGGTTTACTAATTGCGTGCCAACATTGCTTTGAAAAAAGAGAGTCAACCATGCACATACTTATAGAATAAAAGTAAGAAAGCAAGCCAATGGTTTACTAGCAACCACCGGGAAATGTTGTGCCGATGATCGGTTAGTTCGGTGATTTAGAAAGAGAATAAGTGAAAGGTGAATATGACAGAGTTAACCAGTTGTTTGCTCACTGATAATGAAAGTAAACCATAAACTTAATTAGAATATATTAAAACAGCAATGCTCATTTAAAATATCGAGTATCAACGTAACTGTTTTTTTCTTTTTCTTTTTCTAAAGAATTTTAGGCTATGACATGAAAAAATACACCACTATTTTTTTACTGTTACATCTTTATCACATTTTATCATTCTTGTCCACACACGTGTGAGTACATATATATGTGTGCGGACGCGCGCATATATATATTCGCATTTCATTTAACTTTGATTAGATATAATGTTCAAAACAAGCGCTGCCTATGCCCCAATCATAGAATGCTCTCTGTCTTCTTTATTTTGTTTTCTTTTAATGATTGAATCAACCGAAAATGTTGCAGACCAACAACTTCCAGGAGCAAAGAAGCACAATAGAGTTTCCAATAACATTTTTGTTAGAGCCCCAGCCCCTCCCATTAAATTCGTATACTCTAGAAGGAGCAAGGGGACAATAGTTGATTCTCACAGGGGGGTGTAGTAAGAAGTGGTATTGGCTAACTTGGCTGACTTGGCAATTATTACCGAGTTTCACGCTGAGGTCAGGCATGCCGTTAGGAATTAGTTTGCATGGGGAATACCATGAGTGAGAAGTCTATAAAAGAGAGCTTGTAGTGAAAAAAGGAGGGTATTGTATTGAGAATTGAGTCTGAATATTGGAGGCAGAGGAACCTCGAATTCCTCCTATCTGTAATTTCCGTATTTTCTAATTAATAACAGCTAAGAAAACCACCCAGAATTCCTGGGTTTCTATCTTGGTATCAGAGCCACCGATTCTATGGCCGCCGTCCACCACGACCCGCGCGTTGCAGACCGAGTTGCCTTGGTGGAGCAGAGGATAGAAGACGTTCACGACACTCTTCAGATAGTGGGAGCCATAGCTGACCGAGTTCCCCAGCTACAAGAGGATGTCACTCGGCTGGACACCAGAGTTGGAGAGATGCAAGGATCGGTGCTTAGAATCGAGGAGTTGTTGCAGAGACATGCTCGGCTGTTTGATAGACGGCATCCAGAAAGGGAACCGGTTAGGAATCTGGATCGGACACCCCCTAGGCGAGAACCGGAGAGGGGTCGAGCAATCTCTCGGGAAGGCTCACCGGTCCGAGGGGGGGAAGGAGGAGGAATGCACCGCCAAGTATCGCCGGTACGGCAGAGGGGTAGAAGGGACTTTCGAGGGAGAAAATTAGAGCTTCCAGTTTTCCATGGCGAAGATCCGTATGGCTGGGTGTTTAGGGTTGAGTGCTATTTTGCGGTGAACGACATCGAAGACGAGGAGCGAATCTTGGCGGCGTCCGTGTGCATGGAAGGAAGAGCTCTTGGGTGGTTCCAGTGGGTTGACGCACAGGATCCGTTCGTGGGCTGGCGAGAACTCCGGACGGCCATCATCCAACGATTCAGCCACGCCCGGGAAGCAGATCCAACGGAGCGGCTGATGGCGCTCCGGCAGACTGGAGGAGTGGCGGAATACCGAGACACATTCAAAGCGTTGGCTGCTTCCATGAGAGGTGTGCCCGAAGCTATCTTCAAGGGGGCTTTCCTGAATGGGTTACGCGAGGACGTGCGGGCTGAGGTACTGCTGTGATTACGCCCGTACTACATGAAATCATTAGCCCGTAGACCTAATGAAAAGCTGAGTCCACAATTCTATGGTCCCTTCGAGATAGAAGAACGGATTGGTACCGTGGCATATCGCCTTAAGCTGCCGTCCACAGCTAGAATTCACCCTATCTTTCATGTGTCTCAACTGAAACCGTATAGGGGAATGGTGGTTTCTGGGTTGCCCCTGCCTCCCAACCTTTCTGACGAAATGGAGTTGGATGTTCAACCTTCGGCAGTTCTGGATTCCCGAGTTAGATCGGTGGGTGGTAAACAAGTACCGGAGGTATTGGTTCAGTGGGATGGTCTGCCAAGCAGTGAGGCCACATGGGAGCCCGTTTTCACCATTCAATCCCAGTTTCCAAGCTTCAACCTTGGAGACAAAGTTGGTCTTGAAGAGGGGGGGAGGGATGTTAAAGCCCCAGCCCCTCCCAATAAATTCGTATACTCTAGGAGGAGCAAAGGGAAAATAGTTGATGGGGGATGTTAAAGCCCCAGCCCCTCCCAATAAATTCGTATACTCTAGGAGGAGCAAGGGGGAAATAGTTGATTCTCACAGGGGGTGTAGTAGGAAGTGGTATTGGCTGACTTGGCAATTATTATCGAGTTTCACGCTGAGGTCAGGCATGCCGTTAGGAATTAGTTTGCATGGGGAATACCGTGAGTGAGAAGTCTATAAAAGAGAGCTTGTAGTGAGAAACGGAGGGTATTGTATTGAGAGGCAGAGGAACCTCGAATTCCTCCTATCTGTAATTTTCGTATTTTCTGATTAATAACAGCTAAGAAAACCACCTAGAATTCCTGGGTTTCTATCATCAATTTTACAGATCAACAATTTCCACTGGCATATAAGCAAAACAGAGTTTCTAAGGTTTACAAAGTAGTTCCAATACTAGAACAAGAATGAGTAAGACACATAACTACATAACTACATAACTCACAAACTGAGTAGATAACATATTTTTATTTAGCACCATCGGTTTTCAACAGTGAAAACACTGCACTCGCACTCACCTCCGAGAAATCACCAACATTACTCAGGCCATACTCATTATCGCCATCGTTATCAGCCGTCGTACTAACGGAAGGAAGGTGCTCGACGTTAGGACGTAAGAACGCCGACGAAGAGTTCACCGTGCTGTCCTCGTGAGGCTGTCTCGGCACGGGCATTTGCTGAAGCTGAAAAGCGTACTCCAAGTCCCAAATCACGTCGCTCATTGCAGGCCTATCGCCGCTATCTTCTTCCAAACACTTCTCCGCAGTTTCACTAAACTTCCTTAGCGAGTTGGGGTTGATTTGACCCTTCATTGAAGGGTCAATTATGTCCTCAAGCAAGCCTTTGTTCTTGCATTTCATCGCCCACTCGGCCAAGTTCATTTGCTCCCTCGGAAGCAAGGTGTCTATGGCCGGTCTCGCGCATAGGACCTCGAGAAGGACAACCCCAAATGAGTAGACATCGGATTTTTCAGTCAACTGTTGGGTTCTGAAGTACTCAGGATCAAGATATCCCAAAGTGCCTTTCACATTGGTGCTTACATGAGTTTCAAACTCATCAAGTGGGCCTGATTTTGAGAGGCCGAAATCCGATACTTTGGCCACGTGGTTTTTGTCAAGCAAGATGTTTGTGGACTTGACATCTCTGTGGATGATTCCGCCTGATAAGCCTTTGTGCAAGTAGTGAAGACCATTGGCTGCGCCAATGCAGATTTCAAGCCTTTGTTTCCATGACAAACGAGGCAAGTCTGGATTGTAAAGGTGGTCTCTTAAAGTTCCCATTTCCACGAACTCATAAACCAGGATCATCTCCGACCTCTCGTCGCAGTACCCGATCAAGGACACGAGATGTCGGTGGCGGATTTTGGAGAGAATCGTGATCTCAGTTTGGAACTCAGGAAGCCCTTGGCCTGACCCTGGTGCACTTCTCTTCACAGCAACTTTTGTGCCATTCACAAGAGTCCCTTTGTAGACATTACCAAAGCCTCCCTTGCCAATTATCAGCTTGGAGTTGAAATTCTTTGTTGCTAGCTGAATTTCAGCAAAAGGAATCTTCAGCCCCAAGTGTAGGTTAGGAAGAGGTGAGCCATTGATGGTTGGGTCAGCAATCCTGCTGTGAGAACTTCCCCCTCCTACATATGGAGGCACTTGTCCCCAGCTCGAGTTTTCGACCGGTTTCATCTTCCTTCGTCTCAGTTTGAAGAACCCCACTACCAAAATACAGAGAAGAGCAAAACCCCCGATAGCTGAACCAATCACAATTGGAGCCTTTGTCTTTTTATTACCTGCAGTGATTTTTTCAGTGGGAAGCACTATGAAAAATATAAGAGAATTTTTACAAGACATGGACATAGTATTCAATTACTAACTGGGGACACAAGTAGAACTTGTCTTATAATATAGGGTCAGAACTTATTTTTTTTTTTTATATCGATATTACATTTTAAAAGTTGAACTAAATGTGGCTCCGTCAGTGATTACCTGACTCCTCGTTCTCTACGGGAGTTAAAGCAAGTCCTCTCTTTATCTCCAAAATTTCGAGCCCATTTAGGAAGGCATTATTTTCCGTGGTTTTTTTTGAAAGGCCTATGCCAATGTTCATCACATCAGAACCATGGGAACCAACTGAAAAATCGTAGTGAAAAGGAGTAGCCAGCAGGGTGCTGTTGTCCGTAGGATCGATCGCCTTGCTGAAATTGCCATTTATGTACAGATTGAATACTATAACACCGAGGGAGACACTGATGATGTCACAGAAGTGAAACCTCACAAGGTGACCAGCAGACTTATTTACATTAAAACCCCATGTTATGTTGGATCCGCCACTGGCATTGACATCCATTTCTCTAGCAGTTTGGTAGACCAAAGCTGGGGCAACATATTCACCATCTTCTGAGAGGTAATTAGGCGGATTTGAATAAAACTGACTCTCCTTTGAATTACCTTTACTAATGAGAAACTTATCATCTGTATCCCAGTTTCTCCATATTATTTCGTCATTCGACTCGATCTCTTGACCGCCAACATTGATCCTGTAAACTGTTTGGAAAACAGAAGATGACCCAGTTTTCTGACCTTGTTGTTGCCCAACTTTTATGGCTTCACCAAGGCTGAAATTCACAGGAGGGGCTGGGAAAAACTCTATGGCATTCACAAATGCCAAAGAGGATTCTAGAGGCGTGAAGTATATTCTAAACTTCTTGTTGGCGTTTATAGGGAGATAAAATTCCTTTACTAGAGGCGTGTTTGTGTTATTTTTGGCAGTGAAATTATGCAACAACAAGAACCCAGAAGCTGAAACATCAAAAACTGCCGAGGAAAGATCAACCGTGGAAGGGAAAACTAAGAAATGGAGGCGTACCAGGTAATTAGTACTATTACCAACATCATTGATGTCAAAGGCATATGAAGATTGTTGTCTGAAAACTCTTGCTGTGTTGTACAGAGTTGAGTTGTTGCTGTTCTGAGACTGGTTTGTGTTTTCGACAGAGATGCTGTTCTGCTTTGTAAAAGAGACAGAACCGGAGTTTTTGTCGCCGACGAAGCTCCGACGACTGGTGCTCACGCCTTGGTTTGAGCCACAATTGATGAAGTACTTGTCTGGGAGATTGTAAGCTGAAGAGAACAAGTGAAGGGATGAGAATTGGAGAAGAAAAAGAAGAAAGGGAAATGGAGGGATATAAAGTCTCTGGCTATGAAACTTTTCCATTAGAAATTATGTGAATTTGCTTGGTTATAGTGCTAATTTTCAGCTGGTAATTTTCCCATCTGAGAATTGTGGAGCTTGAATATGCAAATTTCAATCATACACATACAGACTCAAGTCAATGTTGTGAACTATGGAGTTGACTTCTCAACAACTAACTAGGCGAATTCCAAGTCAGAAAAATCAAAGGGCAATTAGATAAACAAAGAAATATCTTGGTTGATTGATTCGTATACCCCTATAAAATTCACAGACCGCATGTAAACACAAAGGGCAGTATGGTCTTTTTTATGCTTCCACTAAAAAAGATCGTGTAGGTCCAGCAGCCAAGGCGAACCGCCGTCCTATAGAGTAATTGGCTTGAGTGGCAAAACATGGAATTCTCTATATATTTGGATGCTTCCATTCTCACTACTTATGTTTGGGTAGAAAATGAAATTGTTGATTTAAGGTAATTTATTTGTTCTCATTCAAAAAGAAATAAATTAATCACCTCCAAGATACAATGAATTAACGAATTCTATAAATAGCAAGTTTACATAATTCCTTCAACTAGTGCGAAAAATTAAACTGAAAATCATTTGGATTTAATGGTTGCTATGCATAGCCAAATTCATTTCGCTCATCAACAATCTTGTTTGTTGCTGACATATTTAAAATAAAGTTATGAGCTCGTTTGGTTTACGCGTTTAAGTCAATTCATTAGCGGAAATTTTATGAGAATTATTAATTGAAAATTTTTGAATTCAAATTCTTTGTGAGTGAAAAATAATATAGTATAATTAGAATTATAAGTTTAAAAATATTTATCAAATGGGCTCTATGTGTTTTAACAGTTGCATCTATTTGAGTCATGTGTTTCAACTCATATATCAATTCAAAAACAAAGCATTTAGATGGTCAATTTTGTTATCTAGCAGACATTTAATTTTAACCATTATATCACACTTATTTATGATCAATGGTCCATATTTAAAATTTTAAAGATACGATCGAAAAAGATAAGGCTTCCTCTACTTTCAACAATGCCTATGTTTAGGTTTCAAATGTTTTAATAACAGTGAAATTTTGACAAAATATAGTTACATAAAGTGCAAAGTCTTTTTATTTTCAAAGTTTTTTTTAGACAAATTTTAAAAATTCTCCTTGAACTTTATCATTTGTATCAACATGATCCTTGAATTTTAAAATGTATATATTGTGTTCTTTGAACTATGAAAATGTCTCCAACTTTTCCTTCTCTGTCTGATTACGTTGATTTTTTTTAACGGAAATGCTTATAAGTTCCTCTGGATTTTGTCACTTGTATCAACATGCTCACTAAACTTTAAAATGTACTTGTTGTGCCCTCGAATTATGATATGTCTATAATTTTTCTTTACATATCTTGAATCTGTCAATTTTTTGAATGAAAAATGTTAATATTGTTGGGAATGGTGTCCTAGAAGCATAAGATGTAATAGGATATTTATTATTTATTTAATAAAAGAGTTTATTCATCATTTTATGTGTATATATTTGTGAATATTTTATGAATACCAATGAAAATTCTTTGATTATTTATGTAACCTTAAGCATTGTATATAAGTGTTATATACGAGAGGATAATGTTTAAGGATAATAATAAAAAAACAATGTTCATAATGAATTTAATTAAAGTTCGGAATGTTTAATTAAAACATTATTAATACATGTCATTCCCATTTAGAATAGAACGGTGTTATCTGCACTGTTAATATGGTGAGATATTGAATGAGTGTATTTCGCATAATGAGATTATGTGGAACAAGGACACAGACACAATATGAATTTCTAATAATTTCCGTTAAGTATAGAAATTCTAATTGAGTCTACCGATGGTCATATATAGAATGATCTTAATCCTGAGTTCTTAACAGACTCATATTTATGGATTTGTGTCTTTTGATTCACTCGGTACGGATTCTGAGATCCTGAATCCTATTCCTTGTATTTTAGAGACATGATGAAGTAGGTAGCCGGGAATGTTATTACACGAGATGGAATCCATTCCTTCTTAAGAAAGAAGTAGAGAAATAATTCTCTTGAGGGTTTATTCGGTACTTGGACCAGTAGGAGCTCCGATTCATAAAGATGTAATTAGAGAGGTTAACGGATTTTACCTTGCTCTAATTATGAATTATTTATGGAGGATTGATCTATATGCAATGACTATATCAAATGGACACTTCACAGTTTAGAAGTAATTTATATCTATAATTTCGAGAGTGCAATTCCAAGTTTATAGTGGAGTAACTATTGGAATTAATAGAATTAATTAATTAATTAAAGTGTTTAATTAATTATTAATTTTATTAGAGCTCGGAATTATAGGTCCATATGTCTCCGCATCGTCCTAATAATTCTACCAGACACAAAGGGCAAAATAGAAATTTTAGAATTATGGAATTCTAAAATTAAATACTCAAAAAATAATTAATGGAGAATTAATTATTATTTAAATAATGTGATTATTTAAATTTGAATTTGAATCATGAACATAATTTAAATTTATCCTTTTAAACTTATTTGATAAGTTGTTCAATTTAGAATTCAAATTAATTTAAGTTTGACTTAAATTCGAATTTGAATTTGAAATAAAATTGGACTACAGGATAAAGGATGATTTTCTCTTCCTTCCCTATCCAGTATTGGCGCCACACACAGGGATAGGAATCCCTAGCATGGCCGGCCACAAGAGATAAGAGAAAGGAGAATTTTTGTTCGAAATTCAAATAAGAGATAGAGATTTGATTCATTCTAGAAGTTTGACTTCTACTCTATAAATAAGATATGATGAAAAATTGCGCGAGATAATTTTGAACTTAACTTGAAGGGGGCTGGCCGAATTTCCCTAATAGAGAGAAGGAAAAATTTTTTCTCCAAAAAATTTCACATCGTGCATGCGTTGGTGTTTGTGGACATTCGAGTGTTTATTGTAACCCGTTTTGTCTCATGTGTGTCCACACACACATCTTCGTGAATTCTAAGAATTGACGTGGAAGACATTGGTTTTCTAAACACAAAGCTTTGGAGTAAGGATTGTTCGAGGTCAAGGAACTCAATTTATCATCCGAGTCGGCCTCCAGGTATTTTTTCTAATTGAGTTCTTAATAAATGAATTAATGAGATTAATTTATTCGTGCATAAATTAATATAATCTATAGAGTATCTCAAAGGTTTTATGAAAATTTTTGTTATACACGATCCACCTCCCCCCATGCTTCCGCATCCGAAGTCGATTCGGAGACCAACAGATATATGACCATTAAATTGCTAATTAGGTATGATATTGAGGTTTATTGAATGCTTTTCCTTAAAAAAAATTAATTAGGCACCGGTTTTTTAAAAAATTAGTTAGCATATCTCTACAAGATAATAGGTTTGTTAATTTTTTTTTCCAAGAGGCCCATTGCCAATGAGCAAAAAATTTTAAGAGGTAAACGGTGTAGGTAAGCCATAATAACAATAATTAGAGAACAAACATAGAATTCAAAATTTGATTCTAGCTACTTACCAGTACAAGGCCTTTGATAATTTGGTCAGTGTAATACTCAGCCTGCGACTCCTGCAAAGAAAGCAAATGATCAATCATGGTGTTCTAGGCCTCATTCACTTCATAGATTCGAGTTTTTAATTCAAACTGAGATGTGACATTTTCTGAGAGTTTTTTACTATAGCAGAAAAAGTTAAATGTGACATTTTCTAAGAGCATTTTACTGTAAAAACCTAAAACTGAAAACTCGAATTGGTGAAATGAACGAGGCCTTACTCTCTTTCCTACTCCGATGCTCCTCGATCAAACTCTGTAAAAAAGCGTCCGTCCTCTTCGCCAGCCTCTTGATTCTCTTCTCGCAACCTTCCGGAATCCAATTCAAAATAGGCAAGAAATTGACTGGATTCCCGGCCCCACCATTCTCGAAAACCTCCTTCATGATCTCCCGAAACTTCCTCGCCTCATCGTCGTTCGCCACGTCGTCACCGTAGTACCTCTTCCCGGCGACCATTGTCATTATGATGTTCAACGCAAGGTCGGAAAACATCGACTTCCGCTCGACCTTCCCCGAACCTCGGAGGGAGTTTAGAGAGATTTGCGACGCAAGCGCTTCACATCGTCTCTTCGGAGGCCCCTAAAAATGTTGAGTCGCGATGAGGAGAAGATTTGAAGAGTGCCGATCCGGTGGAGGATGCGCCAGTGGTAGCCGTAGGGGGCGGAGTCGATTGTATGGTTATAGCTGACGTGCTTAGCCACGATGAGGGGAGGGCGGTTGGCGAGGACAACGTCATTTTTGGTGAAGCATTCCTCGATGGCGGAGTGGGAGGAGATGATGATGACGCGACGAGCGCCTAACCGGAGGGAGAAAATGGTGCCGTATTTTCGAGAGAGGCGGTGGAAGCTGCGGTGGATGGGGGGTTTTAGGAGGTGGAGGCGACCTATGACCGGGAGAGCCGGTGGGCTTGGTGGAAGATACTTGTTGGAAGAGCTTGAGATTTATTAGGAGGATTATGAGACAAAGGGATGTGTATAATGTAAAATTGGGATCATCCATTGTGTTGAGATGATTAAACTAATCGTATATATTGGGATTCTTGTGATTTGTACTGAGGGTAATCCCTTTTCTATTTATACCATGTATTTGTTGTGGAAGACAAATGAGTATTTGTAATGTATATCTAAAATGCATAAACTATCAAAACTCTAAAAAGGAAATTGAAAGAATATTTATTTAAATACAAATTTCGTAAAATTATGAGAGGACAAATTATAATATTTATAAATACCATGAATGACGAGATGTCTATAGAGTTAGGAATGACTGGATGAGATTTAAGAGAGATATTGAAAAGGGAAATTTTCATGTTAGATTACATAAATTCACGAATTTGCAGTCTTGGCGAGATTTTAAGAAAGATGGTTTGGCATATTTGGCAGTTTTGATGGTAATTTAGGAATAAAATTGAGAATGGATTTTTTTGGTTGTAATGAGACGTGCATGTGGGAGAAAAGAATTGTCAGCAACGTACTTGGTGACATATCTAGCATTGGTCGTGGAAGTTCTAAAGTTGAGTAATACAATAACTTTTTCATATTTTAGTATGTAACATTGTTTATTTCGGTGTGTAACTCAAATTTAATATTTAAAAAATATAGTATAACACATGTAACATTTACAGATAGTATATTGGTGTGCGAACGAACCATGTTATATATATACATATAATAGACACAAGAGTGAGAGAGAACAGTCTTTTTCTCACCATTCCTATCTTCATGATGTTGTTTATAAGATAATATATTCTTGCATGGAACCGCGTGTAGAACAACGATGAGCAATAGAGTCAGCTCGGGCTGCTCATCTTATGTTGCTCAAAGAAAGTCACATCCCGACCCAACTTAGGGTATCGAATCTTTTTCTCGGTTTGATAGAATTTTTGCTTTTACTCTTAGCTAATAGAAGAAGAGAATTAAAAGTTGTGACTTTTAAGTAAGCGTTTAAAATAAAGAGTTTAATGAGTCCAAATGAGTTTTAGATTTTTTAATAAACAATAAAAGTATTAAAATAAAGTTTATAATACCTTAATTAAACTCTGGTATAAATTTTAAAATCTTTAAGAAGTATATTTTTTAAAAAGAGTTCTTTTAAAAAGTTAAAACAGATCGTCTAAACACTTTTAGAAATAATTTTTAGACCTATAAAGCCAAAATCTACTTTTAAAAAGCTCTCCTAAATAGGGTCTTTTGTTTTTGTTTTTCTTCTTTTTCCCAGTTGATCATTCCGGCAACCAACACTAGGTCTGAGCAAGTCATCTACTGAATCTAGCTACCTAGTGATTATTCACATACTCAGTGCCGCTGATTTTTTTTTTTTTAATTTTAAATTGACAATAGTATGTAGTAAAGAGTTGTCTATGAAATTTACGGTCGTAGTATGGACATTTTATGTAAAAAAAAAAAAAAAAACAGTTTGAAAGTGTAAAAAGAAAAAAAAAAGTTTTTTCAAATGTCAAGTTACCTACTTAATATTATAATAAATACAAGATATTAAAGGCATATTTCGATATAACAAATATAACAGAAAGTATTAAATTGATTTTTTCTCCGTCTCTTATATATGTTATGATCAAATTTTTACCTCCTGACAAACAAATAGGAATGAGAGCTATTAGATCTGCAAAGAGAGAGGGTGGATTATAAATATTGCACTTTTTTTTTTTAAGATGTCGTTATATTGGGTAAAGAATATTAAATAAGGATTGATGGAAGCTTGGAATCTTTAATTGTAGCATAAACAATGTAGCTTTTGGAAATTTCGATCCCTAACTTCTGTACATTCGTAAAAAAAATAGCCATTTCAATACATCTTAAGCCTATTTTTTCTTTGTTTTTTTTTTTTTTTTTTTTTTTTTTTTTTTTTTTTTCCCAAACGAATTTTTTTTCAAAAATTTTTTTTTTTTTTTTTTTTTTTTTTTTTTTTTGCATTCACTAGACGAGTATTTGTTCAAAAAATAATAATATTGACCAAACAAGATGAGCTCAATATTACTTATACCTACTGAGGAACTCGTTATATAGTCTTACATAAATATTACAACAGCAATCTTATATTTTGCCTTCAATTAATACCATCGACGGCTTCAGAGAGAACAACGTTCATAATGGGCCGTGCTTTACACAAGGCCTCTAATGGCACTGCTTTAGGCATAGTAAGCCCTTTACCCTCAGCCATATCAACTTCTTCCTCGCCAATCCTCTCCCACTCAAAGCACTGAATCAACGAGCCCAAAGTCAAGCCCACAACACGCTGGGCCAGGCCTATTCCGGGACAAGACCTCCTTCCAAGCCCAAATGGAAATAGCTTGTAACTCTCGCTCTCCCCATTCTCAAACCTCTCGGGCTTGAAACTCTCCGCATCCTCCCACAACTTGGGGTCTCTATGTATGGCCCATGCGTTAATGAATAACACCGTGCCACGTGGCACGTCATATCCGCCAACGGTGCAATCGCCGGATGAGTAGTGGGGAACAAGCAGTGGAACCGCTGGATATAGCCGAAGAGTCTCGGAGATGATGTTTTGGAGGTAATTTAATTTTGAGAGATCCGACTCTTCTACCAAGTGTTGTTGACCAACTTGAGCATCCAATTCAGCTTTAGCTTTTTTAAGAATGCTGGGATGGTTAAGGAGATTGGACATTGCCCATTCTAGTGTCACCGATGATGTATCGGTCCCAGCCAATAACATTATCTATAAAATTAATAGATTTTGGTGATCTAAAAAGTCTTTTTTTTTAATCATCTGAAAAGAATTTATAAAATTGATAGATTTTGGTGAAATTGTTCTTGTGAGGATGTGCAATACCCCACAGGCACGTGAGAAATGTGTACAGTTAAACTGTGGTTAAAAAAAAAAAAAAAAAAAAAAAGGAGTTTAACATTTAAGTGAACTAAAAAAAAAAAAAAAAAAGAAATCAAACCCCACAAATTGGTAATCAGAACATTATTGACTTTTTTTTTGGTGCATCATAACATGATTGACTTTTTTTTTTTGGTGATTTGACTATTTTCTTTTATGAATCAAAACATGATTGACTTTGCACTTTGTTTTATGGTGACAACTTTACTTAAGACTAAAAGATAAACGAAAAAACAACACATTGTGTACACTAGTTTTCAGAAAAGTGGTTTTAGAGTATATCTTAGCGGATACAATACGGAGTTAGAATTTATTAATAGGGTTAAAAAAAAATTTATTTTTATCAAGATTATATTATTGTTTATAAATTTGATAAAATTGAATTTTTTATTTTTTAAAATCTAAATAGTTAACTTAATAAAATATAGAGAACTATTAATTTATAGAGGCCAAATTTAATTTATACACGTATTTATTATATTAAAATTAAAACTATTATATTAAAAAAAAGAAAAAAAAAAACTAGGAGGCCCATGCTCCGTCGGTTGGTACAATTATTATTCATTAGAGTTTTGTGTGAATCTATACATCCTCAAGACATCATCATCACATAGCCAATTTTGGCTCTTTTTTGCGGGGTTAATTTTTCAACATAAATTAACAATTTGACTTGTACATGCGTCACTAACTAAAAGCGTGAGGATGCTTAATATTTTTTTTCCTAATCTAAATTCATTTTTAAGATAAAGTCAATTGAAATTTCACATATTAATTTTCATAAAAAAATTAATAACTCTTATTAACCAAGGTATTTTACCATATATTTCCAAATTTAAGGGGGAAAAAAATCAGAAGGCACAATACAAATGAGTGAAAAATTAGGAGGGGCATGCAAATAAGCATAAAAATAATTAGAGATCACATATAGCATATAAAATAATTCTAGATATATATCATTTTCAAAAAAGAAATAATAAAAAAAATAATTATTACTATATACTGATATAGAATTCAAAATTTTTTTTCTAGCTACTTACCAGTGCGAAGCCTTTGATAATTTGATCAGTGTAATACTCAGGCTGCGACTTCTGCAAAGAAAGCAAATGATCAATCATGGTGTTCTTACTCTCTTTCCTACTCCGATGCTCGTCGATCAAACTCTGCAGAATAGTGTCCGTTCTCATCGCAAGCCTCTTCATTTTCTTCTCAAAACCACCCCAAATCCAATTCAAAATAGGCACAAAATCGGCCGGATTAGCCCCCCCACCATTCTCAGAAACCTCCTTAATCACTTCCTTAAACTTCTTTGCTTCATCCTGGTCCGACACGTCGTCGCCGTAGTACCTCTTCCCGGCGACCATTCTCATTATGACGTTCAACGTCAGCTCGGAAAGCATCGACTTCAGCTCGACCTTCCCCGAACCTCGTAGCGAGTTTTGAGAGATCCGGCGGAGCAAGCGCTTCACCTCGTCTCTTCGGAGGCCCCTAAACACGTTGAGTCGGGAAGAGGAGAAGATTTGAAGCGTGCCGATTCGGCGGAGGTTGCGCCAGTGGTCGCCGTAGGGGGAGGAGACGATGGTGGTGTAGTTGTAGCTGATGTGCTTGGCCGTGATGAGGGGAGGGCGGTTGGCGAGGACGACGTCGTTTTTGGTGCAGCATTCCTCGACGGCGGAAGGGGAGGAGACGACGACGACGCGGCGAGAGCCGAACCGGAGGGAGAAAATGGTGCCGTATTTTTGGGAGAGGTCGCGGAAGGTGCGGTGGATGGGGGAGTTTAGGAGGTGGAGGTGACCGATGACCGGAAGAGCCGGTGGGCTTGGTGGGAGGTTCTTTTGTGGTTTTTTGGTTAGGAGGAAGAGCTTGAGAGTTATTAGGAGGATGATGAGAGGAAGGGATGTGTATAATATAAGATTTGGATCTTCCATTGTGTTGATATGATTAAACTAATGGGATATAGTATTGGTATATATTGGGATTGATATGTATCTTTTATATTTATACCATGTAATTGTTGTGGAACACAAGTGAGTGTATATAATAATGTATTTACAATACATACGCTTTCAAATCTCCCAAAACAAAATAGAAAGAATGATAAATTCAAAACAAATTTCCTGAATTTATGGGAGGACAAATTTTTCAATATTATAAATCCCATGATGAAGAAATTTCCTTAGAGTTGGAGGTTGGAAGGGTGAAGCAAATTTAAGATAGATAAAAGAAGGAAATTTTCATGTTGGAACAAATTTGTTGTTTTAGTGTATTCTAGGGACTTAAGTTGTGATTGGAGGATAGTTCAAACCACTTTAATTTGGATTCAAACTATAACTTAAGTTCAAATTCAAGTTTTAACTCAAAGTTTGTTTTAAGTTTTGCTATAAAATACGAGTTTGAATTAAAATTTGATGAACTCAAATTCAAACTTGAACTTGAGTTATGGGCTAGTGAATAATCTTATAGTGTTTTTTCTTATAAAAACTTTAACTTTAAAAAATTATGTAAGAGTGTTTTCTTTCACAAAATTTAAATTTCGGTTCAAATCAAACACGCTTTCCAAACAAGGGCTTAGAAGGTTTGGCTACATTATGACTGGAATTTAGGATTAAGAATGGATTTTTAGCTTTGCATTCCTGGAAGGTCAGCCACATAGAAGTGGAAAGGATCGTCAGCCACATCCTTGGTGACGTAGCTTTGCATTCCTGGAAGGTCCAAATTGTTTTGACTCAAAAGGGAAGATTATTCCAACAAACATGAAATGACACAACAGAGATATTGCGGGAATACATATCCTAAATTGAAAGCACTTTGAACGAATGATAGAAAAGAAAATGAAAATTCGTGAAGACACGTAATACAGCGTGTTTAGAATTATTTTTAAAAACGTTTTTCACATTTTCTAAGAAAAAAACTTAGAGAATGAGAAAAACATAGCATTTGGAGTAACTAAAGACAAAAAACAAAAATCAAAATAATTTTTTTAGTTTCATGTAAAATGGAAAAGAAATAAAAAATAATTTTTTTCATTTCTTATTTTCGTTTTCTCCTCTCTCGAGTAGAGAGAAAGATATATACATATATCTACATAATTATTCTATTAATGGGTTATAACTTTACATATATAAGAAAGAAATATTTCCTTTTTCTTATTTAATATATTATTTAAAATACTGTTAGATGTTTTAAAAAATGTATAACCAAACAGAGTTTCAGTTTTTTCTTATACTGAAAATAATCTCTTGATAAAACTACCAAACATATTTTTAAAAATGATTTCTACCTAAGATTGAAAACGTTTCTATTTCCATTTTCATACAAAAAAATAAAATCATTTTAGAATGAGTTCCAAACGCGTCCTATAATTTGGATCTTGTATAAGTTTATGTAACATTTAAGGACGAATTTATGAATAATAAAAGCATCTAAAAGCTTGGAGTTTTAAAAAGTAGGACTATATATTATTGGAGAATCTACATAATCTTGTATTTTATGTCCTTATCGTTGTAATTGATTTTGTTAATTATCTTCCTAGTTTAGAAAATCTGATTTAGTTTCTTAGTTTTGATTATTAGTAATTAATTTGTTAAATACTTCAATCAATGATCTTACCTAGAATAGGATAGTTGTATTATGTATATAATTTTGTTCAGAATCAATACAAAGTATGCCATAATTCCTTCATTTCCTATATGGTATCAGAGTCCCTCTCCTCTCCCTTTCCTTTATGTATTTCTTCCTTCGATTGTTATTTCCAGCAGCCTTATACCGAACGACTGCTGGTTTGTGACTGCTCCCATGGCTGCTCAAGACCCTCCTGCTTCGTGTGCCACTTCTTCTGACATTATTGTCCCAAACTCTCATGAACCCAATAAACCTCTCACTGCCATAAACATCTCAACCCACAACACAGTTAAACTTACAACCACAAATTATATTTCCTGGCAACTTCAGTTTCATGCAATACTCATCGGCTATAATCTAGATGGCTATGTTGATGGATCAAAGCCATGCCCACCAGCAACAATTACAAAGAATGGCGTCACATCCCCAAACCCTGCATATCAAACATGGATTCGACAAGACAAACTCATCTTTAGTGCTCTTGTTGGATCACTCACAGCGCCAATCATTCCTCTCATCACTCGAGCAAATACTAGTCAAGAAGCATGGACTATTCTCTCCAACACGTTTGCTAAACCAACCAGAGGACACATTAAACAAATAAAGACACAACTTAAGAATATTACCAAAGGGTCACGTAGCATTTCAGATTACATGCAGTTTATCAAAAGCCGTGCTGATGAATTAGCAATATTGGGAAAACCGATTGATCAAGAGGATCTTATTGAGACAATTCTTGATGGTCTCGATGAACATTACAAAGCAGTGGTTGATGCTATCAATAATCGAGAAACACCAATCACTTTTGATGAGCTTCATGAAAAACTTATCAACAAAGAGCTATCTATACAAGTGTCTCAGGAGCCATCTATTCCTCTTCCAGCAACAGCTAATCCAATTGCATCTCGACCCAACCAAAATCTTCGTAACCAATCATGGAAATCTACTCAACCATATGGCGCATCCTTTCCCATGATTCAGAACACTAGGCCACGTTTCTCTGCTCCACGTGGTGACCGTCCTCCTCAAAGACCTTATCTTGGATATTGCCAGGCATGTAATGTATAAGGTCACACTGAAAAAAGATGTCCCACTTTTCAATTGACAGCAATCTCAGCTCCAAATCAGCCACATGCTCAATGGACACCACGTCCACGTGCACCATGGCAGCCACGTGCCCACATTGCAACTGCCACCAACACCACCAACACTCCTAGTTGGCTTCTGGACAGTGGAGCCTCGCACCATGTCACCGCCGACCTGAGTAATCTATCTTTTCATACTTCTTATGACGGTCCTGACGACATCGTGATTGGAGATGGCTCGGGTCTACCTATCACCCATACCGGTTCCACATCTCTTTCCACTTCCTCTCGTTCTTTCTCATTAAATAATGTTCTTTGTGTACTCACCATGAAAAAGAATCTTATATCCATTTCTCAATTTTGCGCCTCTAATCATGCTTCTGTTGAATTCTTACCATCTTCCTTTTATGTGAAGGATCTTCGCATGGGGGCAATCCTTTTACAGGGACAGACTAAGGATGGTGTTTATGAGTGGCTGGTTTCTTCATCAAAGTCTTTCAATCCCACAGAACCTCTACTTGCTTTTTCAAGTGTCAAGACCACTTCGTCCGAGTGGCATCGTCGGTTAGGTCATCCGTCTCATTCAATTCTCAAAAATGTTATTTCTCGGTTCAACTTAGATATATCAAGTCCATTGTCAAAGTTCTCAAATTGTAATGCATGCGATTGTAATAAAAGTCATAAACTTCCTTTCTCCATGTCGTCTATTCAATCCACCTTTCCACTTGAAATTTTATTTTCTGATGTATGGACATCACCAGTTTATTCAATAGATGGGTTCAAATATTATGTCATTTTTGTTGATCATTTCACAAAATACATATTGTACTATCCTCTCAAAAGAAAATCACATGTTTCCGATGTTTTTGCTCGATTCAAACCATTGGTTGAAAATTACTTTAATCGCAAAATCATCACTTTGTATTCAGACAACGGGGGAGAATATCAAGCCTTAAACCTATATCTTGCTTCAAATGGTATTTCACATCTCACAACCCTTCCACATACACCGGAACATAATGGGTACTCTGAACGTCATCATCGTCACATCGTTGAAACTGGCCTGTCACTTCTTTCTCATGCATCAATACCACTCACTTACTGGAACTATGCTTTTGCCACTGCAGTCTACCTTATCAATCGCATGCCCACTCCCACACTTAATCTCACCTCGCCATATGAAAATCTCTTCGGTATCCCACCAAATTACTCTAAACTCAGAGTTTTTGGATGTCTCTATTATCCATGGCTTCGACCTTATGCTAGTCATAAACTAACTCCAAGTTCCACTCCCTGTGTCTTTCTCGGCTATTCTCTCACAAAAAGTGCTTACCTCTGTATTGATCCATCCAACAACAAACTTTATGTCTCTCGTCATGTTAAGTTTGTCGAATCAGTTTTTCCATTCTCATCTCGTCATGTTAGCAATGATTCCCATGTTGAGTCCTTTATCATCACTGAATGGATCTTTCCTAGTCTCTCAATTCATCCCCTGTCACCGGCACTTGAAACATCTCCTGCGCCTGCCTCTGCCACACTACCCTCGAGTGATGATTTGCCACCAGCGGACGACCGAACCTCTTCCACCAAACGTCTGCCAAATACTCCCGAAGCCACCCATAAAGAAAATCCAGAGCCACTCGACCAACCTTCAATTATCGATCCTACATACACCCTAAAAAAACACATTATCCTCACTCGCTCAAAACACAACATCTTCAAACCTATTCAAAAACTCAACCTAAATGCTCAATTTCATCCCACTGACTCACCTGAACCATTAACCGTGACTCAAGCACTCAAATATCACAAATGGCGTCAAGCCATGTCAGAGGAGTATGATGCTCTGGTTTGGAATGGTACATGGGAGTTGGTTCCCCATGATTCCAACAACCAAAACTTAGTTGGGTGTAAGTGGATTTTTCGAACTAAACGACTTCTTAATGGTTCTGTTGCCAGGTACAAAGCATGTCTGGTAGCCAAAGATTTTCATCAACGTCCAGGTATTGACTACAATGACACTTTCAGCCCCGTGGTCAAGTCCACAACAATGTGCACGGTCCTCAGTCTTGCTGTCTCTCGCCACTGGTCATTAAGACAACTAGATGTAAACAACGTTTTCCTTCAAGGCCATCTATCTAAGGATGTTTTCATGGTACAACCAAGGATTCATTGATAAAGATCGTCCCACTCATGTGTGTAAACTGCGCAAGGCTATCTAT